CATGTCGAAGCCGCCGCCGAGCCCGTCCTCGGCGATGTAGGTCTGGAACTCTGGGCCGAAGACCTCGGGATCCGGGAAGTCCAGCAAGCTGACGCCCAGGTGGCCGCCGCTGGTCTTGAATAGGGGGACGTTGTAGGCGCCGATCTCCGTGAAGTCAGCGACCGCGTTAGCCACGTCGATGACCGTCCCTAGCTTCGACTGGGTGTCCTTGGAGATTAGCAGGGGGGCGTCCTGATCGAGCTCCGCCGACTCGATCGCGAACGGGTTGTTGGCGATCCCGGCCGGCATGTTGTAGACCGTATCGCTGTACGCATCGCCGCCGACCCCTCGGAACCTGGTCTGCTGGGACCTGGGAATCGGCTTGAGCTTCCGGTCGAGTAGCTCCTTCTCGTACCTGATCCTCCAGGGCGTACCGTGCATGGTCATCTGGCAGGCTGCGTCAAGCACAGCGGTGCCAGGCGGGTCCCTGGAACTGGAACCGTAGGCCTCGACGTCGTCCTTGGAGCCGTTGACCATCAGCACCTGGAACGGCCCGTCCTCATGCTGAGAGGGGGGGTCCCACTCGCCCAGCGCCATCAGGTAGATAAGGAACCAGGCTAAGCGGTACTGGTCGACGGCGAGCCGAGTCGGGTCGCTGGACATCGCGTGCCTGATGAGAGCGTTGCCATACGCCCGTGCAGCGTCACCGCCGTCCACGAACTCGGAGAACGCGTAGCCCCTGTACTTGCCGGCCATGATCTTCTCACCGCCGAGTGGTACCTGCTCAGTATCGAGACCCTTGACGTCCTGGTCGAAGTCCGCGGGGTACGCCACGTACACGCTGTCCTCCTCCCCAGGCCCGTCCAGCTCGTGCGGGTAGTCCTCGATCCCCGGGATCTGCTCAAGCTCCTCGTCGTCAGACGGAACCTTCATCTCCCTCGCGGGCTTCATCTCCCTCGCGAGCTTGGTCACCAGCTCTGGCGCCAGCTCCTTGGACTTAGGGATGCTCTGGTACACCTTGAAGACTCTCTCGGCTTGCTTCGTCTTCGCTGGGGTAGTGCGCGAGTAGATGACCCTGCCCCTCGGGGTGAACAGTAGGGTGGCCACGAGGTACTTCCAGAGCTCCTCGCCACTAGACCTGCGGGCCTTGGCCACGTGGATTCCGGTCCGGTTGGGCAGGCACCAGTGGCAAGTGAGGTACCGGTGCGTCCCGTTCGCGCCCTTGAACAGTCTGGGGTCCGCCGCCAGCGCGTGCTCGCAGGGCTCCGCCATGACTGGAAGTGACTGGCCTCGTCTCCTCGGGAGTCCCGCAGCTCCGTCGTCCGCGCTGGCCTTGAGGGTCTCGTCACCTTCCTTGCCCCCTTGAGGGCTGCCGCGTGGCTTCGCCTTGGGCTTAGGGCGGGCGCCGAGCCCAGTAGGCAAGGGCGAAGCCGCCAACGCCACGAACACCTCCGCGATCCTGACCTCGCCAGTCTTGGAGCAGTCGCCCTTGAAGTCGCTGAAGCTGAAGTAGCTGTTCTTCGGCCTGTCCGATGGTGGTGCCGCCGATCTCGATGACTTCGGGCAGCCTGGGTCGCCGTGCCAGTGTCCGATCTGCCCGCAGCTGGCGCACCTCGTAGTCCGCTTCAATTTCTCGATCCTGGCACGCCGCTCACCGTTGTCACCGGGAGCACTTCCACCTCTGGCTCGATCCCTCGAGCTCGAACTGCCTTCGCCGCGACCTCCGCCCTTGCGTCCTCGACCTCCCTTACCGCGACCGCCGCTGCGCGCCTGGAACCTCTGCTTGTTCTGGACGATCGCCGCGAAGCTCTCCGCCGCCTCCGGGTCCATCTCATCGATCTCCTCGAGAGTGGCCTCCTCCTCGCCCAGATAGACCTCTTCTTCCAGGGGCTGGTCGTCGTAGGAGTTGTCGAGCTGGTGGTCGTTGTCGTCGTAGTGCTCGTGCTCGTCGTCACGCTCGGCCTGCCACGCCTGCCGCTGCCTGTACTGGCCCTGCTGGAACCTCTGCGGCTTCGGGTCCGAGCGGTGCGCTTCCTGCTTGCCATCCTTCCGGTAGTTCCGCTCCCGCTCGTGGATACCCGAGTGCTGCATGCGCAGCGCCTTGGCGAACGCCTCCTTGTCGTACTTATTGCCCGCGCTGCTGATGATGCTGGCGTGGTCCGACTTGTCGAGCCCGCTGAACTTCAGCAGCAGGTAGGCCTGGAGGTCGTCCGAGATGCTGGTCTCCTGCGAGACCTTCTTGAGATCGTCGAACGCCTTGGTCCGCCTCGTAATGTACTCCTGCATGCTCTCGCCAGAGCCTCTCCACACGGACTTGTCGTAAAGCGCACCGTCGAAGAGCTCTGCCGCGCGAACAGGTCTCTCCTTCAAGACCGACTCGCCGAGCACCCGCAGTAGCATCTCCAGGCCCACGGTGGTCGCCCTCTTGCGAGTGATCGTGCCGCCGCCCTTGCCACCGCTCTCGAGGGTCTCCTCCTCGTACGTGAGCAAGTCTTCGTGCTTCAGCGACCTCACGGCGTCGTAGGCCGTGCCCGAGAGACCATTCCTGAGGTTGACTGGCGTCGCGATCTGCTTTTCGTCGCCCATGCGACCGTAGAAGGCATCTTTCGCCCGCTCCTGATACTCCTCGAACAGCGCTGGGTCGCCGTCGTAGAGCGGGATGTCCTTCTCGAAGGTGAGGCGCGAAGCTCGCGCCATGACACCTCTTGGAGTTGCAGTGGTGCTGCTCGTAGTGCTGCTCGTGGTGCTGCTGGTCGCCAGGGCAGCAACGATCGAGCTCGTGATGATGGCGAACGCGATGCTGCAGCGTCGCCGGTGCCAGACCCCGCCCTGGTGGTCCAGCTTGTGCAGGTCCGCCACAACCTGCGCCGTGGTGCCGAGCCCGCTCCCTGCGGGCCTGGCCAGCAGCCCCAGCCACGGGGCGCGCCAAGCAGTCCCCCGCGAGCCGCGGAGGCGGGAGCAGACCGTGGCGAACCAGTCCGCTCCGCTTACCATCAACTGACGGCTGCCGCCGTCGAGAGAAAGCTGAAAGTCTTTTCTGCCCGAAACTCAAGAGCTCTGAAACCGAAACGGTTGCGGTCGAATCGGCGTCGGCGTGAGAGGGCAGCTCGGGGGGAGGGGGGGACAGTGTCCATCCTCTTCCTCTCCTCCTCCTCCTCTCCTCCTCCTCCTCATCCTCCTCCCTCTCCTCCCTCCTCCGCCTCCTCCCCTCCTCCTCCTCTCCTCCTCCTCTCCGTCCTCCTCCTTCCTCCTCCTCCTCTGGGGTCACCTCCTCCTCCTCCTCCTCTCCTCCTCCTCCTCCCTCCTCCTCCTCCTCCTCCTCCTCCTCCTCCTCCTCCTCCTCCTCCTCCTCCGGCCTCCTAGATGGGGTCGGAGCACAGCCAAGCATAGGACCAAGAAGCTTACCATCTGAGAAGCCTGGGCCAGCCTCCCGGACGTGTCGTGAAGCATACCTGGGCCATTGTCTGCTGTTGACCTTGCATGGGGCGCCTGGGCTCAAGAAACTGGGCCAGCTTTCCCGCAAATTGGTTAACGCTGGCCCAATTGTTCGTGGGGAGATGTCTTAATCGGAAGCTCGACTGTAGATGGGGTCGGAGGATCACGCCGCATCGCCGATGCATCGGCGATGCGGCGCGATGCTCCGACCCCATCTACTCGGATCCCATCTGGGAGGCCTAGAAGTTCTGGGGGTCCACGCTGCTGAAAAAAAGAGCACGACGTCGGAGGTCGGGGAAGACGCCCCTGGCCCCGAGGTGTCCCCCCACCGTCTCTCGACCCTCAGAAACGAAGGAAGGAGGTCTTCGTGAGTGTTGAGGCTGTCTCGGGCCTCTGGAGGCCTCTGGGGGCCTTGACACAGGTCCAGGGGTCAGGATCCTGGGCGGGCCACAAAACTTCCTACGACCCTGGAGAACGGTACCACCCCCCCACTTCACGTGTTCGAGCCCCCAAGGCGGCTTGGGCCTCCTGACAGGGGCGGAGCGGATCCCGCCATTGTCCGCCCGGGGCCGGAGCCTGGCGCGGGCGGGTCGCAGCCCACAAGTGGCCATGGCTTGGGTCTGCAACCGTCGTTGATGAGCGCTTCGTGTGGCGCAGGAGTGGTGCCTCCAGACTGCCCGTCTTGGGCCTCGCGAGGGGTGCTTTTGGGGGGGCCCCGGGGGCCCCCGGGAAGTCCTGGGAGACACCCTGAGCTGGGGACACCTCTGGCAGCACCCTGCCTCCCCAGACCCCCGACGTCGACACCTTTCACGACGCGCACCCCCAGAGGTCTGGGCTGGGACGCACAGAGACATGCTAATACTACATGTCCTCCTCGGAGGCGCGCGTCCGACCTGGACATATAGTATACCCATCTTGTAGTATATCGTTTCCCGAGCCAGTGTGGCCAGAAAGCGCCCGCCACGACGCATATATTACAAGATTTCTCGGGGCGCGCGTCGCCCCTGGGGGCGCGTCGCACACATGGTAGAAGAGTGTTGGGGTGGCGCCGATGGGCCCAGTTTTTCATCCTGATCCGTTTTATGATGGTCCCCTGGGCCTGGCAAGCGCCCCCTGAGGCCGACGACAACGAAAAACCTTCCGTCGCGATGGCCCCACGACGCGAGCATGTTTGGGACTTCCCCCCCGGGACGTCTAGAGGTTTTGTTTTAACAGCCACAACAAGGCTCTCTGGTGGCCGTTCGAGACGATCTGGGCACCCCCTGGACGCTCTCGGCGAGGCGCAGCCGCTGGGACGCATCCCGAGGCTGAAACACCGCCGAGGACTGACAAAAACGCCTGGAGAACTCAGACCTCGAAGCAGGGGAACGGAAAATGACGCAAACACGAAAACTCGCAGGTCCGCGCGGATTCCTCGGATCGGCGCAGGGCCCCCCTGGCGGCGCCGTCGGCGCCGCCCATGGCGCGCTCCGCGCGTCAGGAGCCGATACGAGAACTCCGCGCGGACCCACGAGCTTCGTGGAACTCCGCGCGGAACCACGACGAGCTTCGTGCTTGTGTCACTGCTTGCTCCCCGACGAGGGGGCCTGGCTCCGGAGGCCCTGGCCGTCGCTGCCGGCCAGCCGCCGCGGCAGGGCGGCGCCCCCGCGGCCTGCTCTTATCCGCCCCGCGCGCCGCGGGCAGTCAGCCGCCGCGGGGCGCGAGGCCCAGGAACCGGCCCTGCAGCACCTCCGCCCAGACGGCCCTCGCGGAGGAGCAAAAGAGCACACAGACCTCCGACGAGATGCCTTCTTCGGTCCGGGCCTGTCTCTCGGGCGGGTGGTACGGGGAGGGTGACCCGCATGGGGCGTGAAGAGAGAGGCCCTGCAGGGGCACTCTGGGGCCCCTTTTGGAGCCGGCAGGGGCCCGAAAGGGGCCCCAGAGGGCCTCTGTGGGGCCCTTCTCTTCCCCCCCCCGTTTGGGCCACCCCCCCTGCTGCCACCCGCCCGATGCTCCTCGGCGCCAGCGGGAACGGATCCGGTGCGAGAAGCGATTCCCATGGAATGGGGTCGGGACCGCTTCGGCGGTGGACAAACCTCCCTTTAGTAAACCTCCCCTTAGTGAAAACGGCCTGGGACCGAAAACGACGGACCTGGACCCGCAAGAATGACGGCCGCGACGCCCTCTCGCGAACCGAAGACGGCCAATTCCTCAATCGACGCGTCGGGGCAGGAGGTCTATCCACCTCCGGCCGCTCCGGGGCTGCGCGCTCGGAAGGCGGAGGTCTGGGGGAAAGCGGCACGGGCCACACCTCGCAGGGGCCCGCGCGGACTCCCCGGGTCGGCGCCGCACCGCCCCCCGAATGCGGCGCCCTGGGCGCCGCCCCGGGCGCGCTTCGCTCGCCAGGGGGCGGGGCCCGGCGCCGACCCGAGAGAGCTCGCGTGGACCTCCGGGAGAGTCGGGTGCCTGTGCGCGCTCTTGCGGCTCCGGCCTCTGCTCGGCGGGATCGGGGAACACGGTCGCCACGAAGGCCCTCGCGTCCTGCACCACCTCAGCGAGGTGGCTGCCCGGGGGAGGCAGCCGGGACTGCTCCCCGCACATGCTCAGGACCTCGGGGACCTCGGCGGGGCTGGCCGCTTGCGCAATGAAGTCCTCGATGCACCTCTGGAACAGGACGCGCTTTGCCCCGAAGAGGGGCTTGTCCCAGGCCATGTCGCCCGCCGCCAGGTCGCCGTAGAACCAGGACGGCGGCGGGTACCAGAAGTTGATGCTGACGACCTCGCCATCCGGCGGTGAGGGCAGCATCTCGACGTGGTGCCACCAGCAGGGTGGTATCCGCAGCGCGTCCCCTGGCCCCAGCACCGCCTCCAGGCCGCAGCCGCGCAGCTCCGAGAAGCGGGGGAAGCTGGCGAGGTCCGGCCCCTCGAAGTCCACCCTGCTCTGGCGGTCCTGCGGGTGGTGCACCGGCCACGGGTAGAGGCGCGGCCAGTGCCTGGGGTGGAAGAGGAGCACGCGCTTGTAGCCGCGCACCTCTGCGAGGCGGGGAGTTGTCCATATCCACCGCCCGCGAACCGACGTCCTGGTGCCCCAGCAGGCGGTGGACATGGATACGTTCTGGCCTCTGGGGGCCGATATTTATCCACATCCACCGCCTGTCGAGGTCTCCAAAATCGATATCCCGGCGACGGCTATGTAGAATAGAAAAGCCAAAAAGGCATGCACAAAAACTTTTGGCGCTCCGCGCGGAGCGCCAAAAGTTTATGTTTGTGGCGCTTTTGTTTTTCTTCGATCTAGATTCCCACCTCGGGACCTGGGCGAACAGATTGTCATGTCGAATCCGCGTCGAATCCACGCCAGATCCGCGTCGAGTCCGCGTCGGGCCCGCGTCGGGCACAAGAGAAGACACCAATTTTGGGGACAGGCGAGGTCCCCCGAAGATGCAACGTATAAATCCCCGCCGCGGAACCTGGGCGAAGAGGTTGTCCTGCGGATCGTAGTGGCAGGGAGAGAAGCCGCCGGCCACGCCGCAGAACAGCTGGCACATCTGCGCGTTCCGTCCGCCCATCATCTGCTTCAGCCAGCTCCATCTGAAGTTCGCGATGTCCGCTCCAACCTTCGGTGGCAATTCATGGTAGCCTCCCATACCATCTCGTCGGCTCTTGCGGATCGACGCTCATCGACGCCAAATCGACGCTAATCGACGCTGAAAAGATGCGAATCAACGCTAAATCGACGCTCAATCGACGCTAACCGACGCTAAATCGGCGCTCTCATCAACTCCCAGACGCAAATCGACGCCAATCGACGCTGAAGACGGAATTGACAGGGTCTACCAGGCTCCTATGATTTGCTACCGAACCAACCTGCTGCCCGCAGGCGGTGCCGAACGAGCCCACGGGCCTCGGGGGGCCCTCCTCGGACTCTTCACGGTGGAGGAGGGTGTTCTGGAGGTAGAACGCCTCGGAGGGCTCCCCTGCCCGCTCGCAGCGGAGAGAGTCCATGGCCCTGCGGCGGAAGTCTGGGAAGCGCATCTCGACGCGCTTGATCGGATTCACCTCGTAGTTGCAGGGATTCTTGCCTGGGCCCATGTCGTAGTAGGGAAAGCGGCCCCTGCTCGCAGGCCGAGCGCAGAGGACGAAGAAGTTGTCCACGTCCCGGAGGTGGCGCTCCAGGTAGTCGAAGGTCCACCGCTCGGGCGCCGTCCCCGTCAGTCCGCTGTCCGTGACGACGACGGGCACTGGAGGCGGCCTGGGAGTCTGAGCTGGTCGAGCCGGAAACACTTGGCGGCGCGCACAAAGGGGGCAGGGGGAGGGGGGAAGGCTACTTCGAAGGAGGCTGTTTCTTGGAAGGCGCGGGCCGTGTCTGTAGGATGGAAAACCCGCGCCTTCTATGAAGCCGCCCCCTTCTGAGAAGCCTTCCCCTCTCCCACTGACCTCCCCTCTGCTCGGCGCCAAGAATCGGTCAAGATGGGGGAGGACCAGGGCAAGTCCGTACAAAATCGGTCCCCAGACCAATCCCGGGGTCCATCGGGGTGCAGTTCTTCACTTCGGAGCCGACCGTCCTGTGGCCCGAAGACGGCTCCCAGAGGCCGGTAAGATCAAAACATAGCAAAAATACAAAACAAATCCCCCTGCATCCACGCGCTCGAACCTCGCCCCCCCCCTTCCTGCTCGCCAGAACCGCTGCTGGACCAACTCAGACCTCCAGCCGGCTCCAAGCGATGGGCACGGAACACCTCGGCAAGTCCCGAGGGAAGCGGGTCCTGGACCCTGGGGACTTCTCCCCCAGGATGAGCGCTCAATCCCGAGTCGTTCTCTGACGGTCCCAGGGCCCGTGGAGGGCCCCAGGACCCTGAGATCCGACGCAGCGACAAAAAATGCAGCATCGCAAAAGATCACGCCCGAGCCCCAGACCCCACCGTTCTGCGCACTGTTTCGAACCGGATCGATCCGGAGGGGTCCAGGGACCCGCAGAAAAGCGAGAACGCCCCGCTCGAAACAGTTGAAATGCCAAGATCTCAGCCCAGACATGCGACGTCCTGAATTTTTCAGGACGGCGTCCCCGGAAGTCCAAACCCTTTCCCCGGGGCCTGTTTTCCATCCTGAATAATTGTTTGACGGTCCCGAGGCCCGGTAAGGGCCCCCAGGGGCTGAAAATAGCGACAAACTTGCCGTCCTGATTCTTTTACGACGCGATCATGTCTGGGACGGCGACAAGCCTCAGGGCCGTTGCCCTCAGGGCCCGCTTCACCCCGTGGCGCACACCGCAACAGCGCGGGAAGCTCCGGATCGGCGGCGCCGACGCGCGGCACCTGACCGCCCACCAGCGCGCCGTCGTACCTTTCGGTGGCAGCTCATGGGAGCCCCCCATACCAACTCCTCCTCCTCCTCCTCCTCCTCCTCCTCCTCCTCCTCCTCCTCCTCCTCCTCCTCCTCTCCTCTCTCCTCCTTTTCCTCCCTCCCCCTCCTCCTCCTCCTCCTCCTCCTCCACCTCCACCTCCACCTCCTCCTCCTCCACCTCCTCCTCCTCCACTTCCGCATCCACCTCCTCCTCCGCCTCCTCCTCCTCCTCCTCCACCTCCTCCTCCTCCTCCTACTCCTACTCCTCCTCCTCCTCATGGGAACCCACCAACTCATGGGAGCCTCCCATACCAGCTTGTCGGCTCTTGCGGATCGACGCTCATCGACGCTGAATCGACGCTCATCGAGGCTACATCGACGCTACATCGACGCTGACCGACGCTAGCCGGCGCTGAATCGTCGCTGCCTCGTCCCCTCCCAGACGCTCATCGACGCTAGTCGACGCCAAAGACGGCATCAACAGGGCGCTCCGGGCCCCCATGGTTTGCGACCGCAGTACCTCCTCCTGGCCTCGGAGGCGACGGCCTCCGCCGGCCGCTCGTCTCGCGCAGCCCCGCGGAGCGGGAAAGGGCCGACGGAGGCGACCACGCCAGCCCCGGCTGCCTCTCGACGGACGAAGGGCGGCAGAAAACGAAACTGCTCCGCCATCGGGCTGTCGAGCGCTCGAGATTCGAACTTCGAGGTTCGAGGTTTCTGGTTGGCCCAGAAAGGGGTCCAGCTGAAAAAGGGCCTGGTGCAACAGATCTGGTGCAATAGATTTGTGGGCGCAATAGATCTGTAGACTTGCGCAGATGTATTTCTGGACGTTCGCGTGCAACACCACCCGGTGCGCAAATGTATTGCAGAAACGGGCCATCGGGCTTTCGAGCGCTCGAAGTTCGAAATTCGAGGTTCCCAGACCCAGGACCCCCTCGGGTCATGAAAAAATCACGACGGGAGGGTTTTCGCCACGTTCGGCCTCTGGGAGCTCTCCCCGGGCCTCGGGACCGTCAGAAAACGGCTCAGGATAAAAAGCCCATCCTGGGGAATGGGTCCAAACCTCTGGGGGTCGACGACGTCATGAAAAATCATGACGTCGAGGGTCTGGGTTGGAGATTCGAAGCCGTTTTCGTCGGTCCTCGGCGGTGTTCCGGCCTCGGGATGCGTTCCAGCGGCTGCGCCTCGCCGAGAGCGTTCTGGGGCTGCCCAGATCGTCCCGAACGGCCACTGGAGAGCCGTGTTATGACCCGAAGGGCAGTGGAAAGTAAACTGTTCCTCCATCGGGGATCTCCAACACACGACAGCTGGAAAGTTTCTGTGTTTGTCGACCTACATATGCATATACATATATAATTATGTGTATATGTAAATAAAAATAAATAAATAAATAAATGCACATATATATATATATATGTATATGGATAGATGGATGTATATATACACACTCACCTACATACACACATACGTACATACATGCGTACATACTACATACACACATACAGTCATACATACAGACATGCACACATACATACATATATGCAAACATACATACATACATACATACATACATACATGCATGCATACATACATACATACATGCATGCATGCATGCATGCATGCATACATACATACATACATACATACGAAAGTTCATTCATACACATATACATACATGCATGCATACATACATACACACATCCATACAGACATATATGAACACGTACATATATACAGACAGACAGACAGACAGACGGACAGACAGACAGGCAGACATACAGCCAGACAGACAGGCATGCATACATGCATACATGAATACATGCATACATGCATACATGCATACATAAGTACATACATGCCAACATACAGACAGGCATGCATACATACATGTATGCATGGATACATTCGTACATGCACCCATGCATGCATGCATACAGACATCCATACAGCCATACAGACATACATACAACCATGCGGTGGCACGTCGGGGTATACCCAGCCGCCCTGGGGCAGGCGTACACGATGGAAGACAAGTTGCTTGCACACCGCTCTACCCTGAGATCTGACGTAGCGAAGACTTGCACCATCGTGGAAAATTACCAGCGGAGCCCCCGACCCCATCCTTTTCAAGCCCGATCGATCTGTGAGGGCCCCGGGGCCCGACGTCGGGCAGAAAACGCCCAGCTCCGAAAAAGTGGGACGCCTGTATCTCAGGGTTCAACTAAGGGATCGACTACAGGATTGACCCCGAAATGCACTGTCGCGTCGAATCTGCGACAGTACGTAGAATCTCCTGTGGGAACTATGGAACATTAAGGACATGTTTCGTAGATTCGGCGGAAACCTCAATTCTGGGGTAAATCAATCCTGCAGTCGATCCCCTACTCGGAAGGTGCACCGATCTTCGCCCGCTGCACCTCCCGCTGCAGGTCGGCCCAGGTGGCCACCTCTCGGGGGGCGAGCCTCCAGGGGGGAAGTGAGAGTGGGCGGGACTTCTCTTACGTCGGGCGTGTCCTCCCAGAGGCGTACTTTGGGACGAAAAACGGAAAATTGTCCAGATATATTGAAAAATTGTAAAGACTAGTAGAGAAATCGTCCCCAGACTATTGTTTTACTATGTCCGAAAATTCCTCCTGTAGGGGGACATGCCCGACTCAAGCCTTCTCCGACAGCTCGGGAGCCCCCCGGCCTTTTCGGGAAGTTTGCCTGAGCCTCGCCCAGACAGGATCGAGAACTCCCCAGAAGGCGCGAGGGCTTCGGAGAAGCCCCGCCGCCCTCTGAGAGTCTGGGGCGCGCAAACATGGATTAGCGATCCATGGATTTGGCGCGCGGTCGCCAAATCCATGGATCGGGGCAGGTGCCCTCCCCAAAATGCGGCCGTTGGCGCCTCCTTCGGCGGCGGAAATCCGCGATTTCCAATGGAAACGGGACCCGTCTCTAATCCACGCCCCCTTGATCCATGTTTTCGATCGCCTGAGATCGGGAGCGGCCAAAAGGGGGGTGTCCAAGAGGGGGGGGTGCAAATCATGACCGGCGGCATGTGCGCGGCCCAGCGGGGGGGGGGCAGGGACGTAATGAAATAAGAAGAGGCGCCATGACATCTGGGGAAATATCATGGCCCCCGCCATGATATCCACCCCCCCCTAAGTCATCACCCCCCTCTTTGCCGCCCTCTCCTTCCCACTTCTCCCCCAGCGCTCGCGGCCGAACCTCTCCACCGCCGCCCGCCGAGAACAGGCGCACCGCCGCGGCCTCCGCCCCGCCGAGCAGCGCCCGGGCCACGGCCTCCCGGGCGCCGCGCAGGCCCTCCTCCGCGCAGAGCGCCAGCTGCACCTCCGCCCGAGGCTTCCCAGACAGGATCGCGTCGTAAAAGAATCCGGACGGCAAGTTTTTAGCTATGTATCGGCCACTGGGGGCCCTTGCCGGGCCTCGGGACCGTCAAAAAACGACGCAGGATGAAAAACCGGCCCCAGGGAAAGGATCTCGACTTCCGGGGACGCCGTCCTGAAAAAATCAGGACCTCGCATGTCTGGGTTCAGATGGGCGGAATTCGGAAATCCTGAACCCAAAACGTTATTGTCTCCTGGGAGGCGTCTTTTGTTACCTCCGCCACCTTCCGCCGCCTGCACCTCCGCCCGAGACTTCAAATGGGCGACGAAAAGAAACGGGTCTTACGCGAGATGACACAGCGACCTTCCGCGGCGGCGTACGCGGGCCGCCCACGCGGCACGCCACATTTGAAGCGAGGGCGCTTACGCGCGACATTGCGCGGGCACAACGTCGGCGCAGACGACACCCTTTTCTTGCGTCGCCGAAATGCCTGGAGGGAGGCATCAGATTGGCGGATGTCGGACACCCTGAACCCAAAATGTGTTCATCTCTTGGGAGGCGTTTTGTTACCTCCGCCACCTTCCGCCGCCCTTCCGCCGGCTTCCGCCCGCGGAGTCGGCCACGTTTTACTTCCGCCGCTCTTCCGCCGGCTTCCGCGGCGGAAGAGATGACAATTCCTTCGATCCTCGGAGGCAAGGCCATTTTTGGAACGCCTCAGACGTTTGGAGGGAGAGCTGATGCGCAATGAAAGCACAACTAAACCTGTTGGAGGGGACCTACGTTAAGAGGGCCAATAATATCAGGG